ACACCTGCCCTCCACTGAGAGACTATTTAATGCAGCCAACAGACTGACACGACCTGGTCAGATTGCACAACAACCTCCTGGATGTTCTAGCAACTGGGTAGTGTGAGGGCATTCCTAAATATTGAGAAAGAGAGAGAAAAAGGCTGAGCTGCACACCAGTAGCCTCATGCAGAACTCCTCTGTTTAAACAGTATGATCGAACTCGGTAAATTCTGAGCAAGCAGAGAATCAGGAAAGCAGCTCAGCAAATACAGAAGTCCACTTTTTTAGAGACAAGAACTACGCCTGAGTAATAGTTTGTTTTGAATACCAATGCTGTATTACCAGAAGCAGTGGTATGCACACAAATCCTCCTTTGCAGCCATCAGGAAAGATTTCATATTTTCTGCAGAATAAAATGAGAAACACCCAGGCAGAGGAATCTACAGGCTTCCTTTTCCTTAGCTACAATTTCTGCGCTTTTTGCATCAAGAAGAAATTTTAGGAGAACCCAAGATCTAACCAGATAATCCCAAATGGGTTAACAAGGAGCATCCAAGGCCTACCCAAGATCCATAAGACAACTGAACTCCATAATTCGACCTCCTTTCACTGGCTACTGGAAGTGGGAAAGGAAGTTTTCTTCTTCAAGAAAAGTTGCTGCAGCCAACACTTAATACGTAGAGCAGACAAATTTCATTGAAATTTCCTATTCCCCAACAAAAAGATCCTCAGCTCCTCTTTTCCAGTAACCTCACCTTTAACTTCAAAAAGAAAAGGTACTTGTGGGCAAACTCATATCGGCAAAGACAGAGGGCCCCTGCCCCACCTGCCCACTTCTAACAGCCCAAGAGCAGTGAAAGGGCCATGGGAAGCAAGCAGGTCCTCCTCCCCTAATCTATGTTGCACACAATAAAAAATTGAGCCTATCCTCTGGTAAATGACCTGCAAACACGCAACACCATCATGTGCAGGTCAAAAGAAACAGAAGGAAGAAGCTTCAAACTTTTACAAGCAATTACAATCCTTGATGTCAGCACAAGCAACAAACACTACTGGGCAATAAAGCACCTGAAAGTACAGAAACTAAGGAACTATTCTATAACATGCTCACATGCTTGCCTGTACTGTCCTCCTGGAAGGAAGCAGCAAAGGAGAAGCCTTAAAGAAGGGTGGCACATTTGTGCTTTCAAAGGTACAGTTTGCCCTCACAAACAAGCTGCGGTGACAGCATTTCAGGTCGCCAGCCCTACAAGAGTGGCAGACTATGTGCTACCCACATGGAAAGGTGCAAGAAGGGGAGATTATACTACTCAAACAGTTTGGATTCAAACAGATGCTGCTTGTAAGGCATCACAAAAAACCTGGCAAGAACCACATGAAAAAGAGAGTAAGAAAGCATTGGTTTTACCCATTTTCCATTTATAAGAAGGCACCACTTGGTCATTCGCTCAGCCTACACGAGGCCCAGGGAAACTGTGCCCTTGAGAGTACGACAGTCGCTCCAAATGCTTCCTAGGAGATCTCCCGGCGACCCAGCGGGATCTCAGTGCCTCCTCGCAGCTCGTGCTGGCAGCAATACCTCGCTCAGCACCCGCACTCAGCCCCGCCGTCGCTCAGATTGGCAGGGCCAGCGCCAAGCGTCCTCCTCCCGCCGCGCATCAGCGTCCAGCCGCAGACAGAGCGCACGGCCCAGGCTCGTGTTGCAGGCAAGGGGCTTCGCTGCCAGCTGGGGACAGAGCGAGCCACGCTTCTGAGTGAAGCTCACCTTACAGACTACAGGAAGACAACGGGGATGGAAAGGACCGAGGCAGGCAGCCGAGCACCGGCAGCACGCTGCAGGCAGGCGGGGTGTGCCACAGCTCCTCAGCGCCCACCCCGCGGCGGAGAAAGGCGGTTCCGCTGCCCCTCGGGGCGCGCCGGTCCCGGGGCTGGCGGCACTCACCAGAAGAACGTGTTGGTGCCGTCGTCGTAGACCTCAGACTCGGTGCTGCGGCGGAGGCCGAGCGCGGAGCCGTCTCTCTCGGAGCCGGGCGACGGGGAACCGCCGTTGGGCTGCTGGTGCTGCTCCTCCAGGGCGGCCTTACCCAGCGGCCCCAATGGGCCGCGGCGCTCGCCGCGCCTCATGGTGGCAGCGGCCGCGGAACGACCCCGCGCTAGCGGAGCGGAGGGGCGGGCGGGGCGCCGCGGCGCGCGGCCCAACGTAGGGAGGGGAGTGCGCAGGCGCGGAGAGCGTCCCGGGGAAGGGGGGAAGGGAGGGCGGGCGTCTGCCGTTACCGGGGTAACCGCGCCGCCTGAGGAGGCGGGGCGGGCGCTAAGGACAGGAAATGGTTGAATGGCCTGTGTGGTGCGCGTGGAGCAGGCGGCCGCACGATGGCAGCAGCCAGCCGGGCACAAACAGAGCTGCGAACGTTTGCACTTGTAGGTTCTGTCCGGCTGTCACAGGAAGCCGAGCGGCCTGCTGCCATCTCTGCTGTATGAGCAGCATAGCTGCGTAAAGAACCTCCGTTTCCCATCTGTGGCATGGAGGAGCTTCAGGGAAACACAGTAAAAAAAGAGTTACAGTTTGACTCTGAAAAACACCTGGAACACCTCTTTTGAACGATCTTTCTTCTTTTGCATCCTTCCAGCCAGATCCACAGGAAGGCAGTACCCTTCAAATTCAAGGCTCTGGGGATTGCATCATGCAAGGCAGGCTGCCTCTATCTTCTTGAAGTAGTTCAATACATAAAAGAATTCAGCTGCTCATTACTGCTTCTCAGATGGAAGTCACCAGTGCAGTGCTTAGCGCATGTCAAACCACTGCCCAAAGTGGTTGGAGCACACTGGGCTGGTGTGATACCGTGGCAGATTAGAATGCAACCACATGGCCAGCACCAGAAGCAACAAACTTTGGAGGGTGATAATATCTTAAATAATTCCAGCTGCTTACAATGCATTTGTGCTGTTACAATCCCTCAACAAACAAATGAATGGCAGATCCACAACACCTCGTGTCTTAAGCATCATCAAACTGGAAGGTTCAACCTCTCCCTCCTTGATCTTAGTTTCCCATGCTGCTGCCCTCAGTACTGTTCCCCCAGAAGCAATGAAACCCAAGGCAGTGAACTGCAGGATGTTTGTGCGAACAGGAAATCTGAAACGAGAGCACTGTCAATTTGGTCACTTGCCACCCTGCAGAGGGCCTAGGCAGAGCCAAACTCCTGAACTGAAGAAGAAAAAGTTCATTGTTTCTTCTAAGTGCTATGCAAAGTCAGATACCTTGGACAAGAAGCCCATCTGCAAGCACAGGCTCACCTTCCCCCCTGGTAAAGCCTCTGAGTTTTGGGACTGTTGCTGGAAGCAGGTGTTGCCTGTGTTCAATTAGCCGGCCTATCTGCAGAGCAAAGTCCTTCCACTCCTCCTTGGCAAAGTTTGCAGGAGAAAGAAACAGGTGCGCAGGTAGAGACACATGTCCCACCTACACCTAACCCCATTTCCTTTCTACCCAACTTGAGCAGTACTCAAGTTGCAAAGGTCTTTGATATTCTGTCAGGAGATGTGGAAAGCACAACGAATCCTATCTGACAAGAGCTTACTCTCTCCTCATGTAAACACACACGTGTTCTCCCACGCCCATGGAGAGCAGCTGGTGATCAAGGTGGTTTTCCCCTCCTGGCCAGCCCTACAGATCACTTCCAGGAGGGTAAAGGTCTCCCTGCTCCTTCCCTCGCTTTGCCCTTGGTTTTAAGCTTAGCAGGAAATTCAGAAAGTGGCTCTTTGTAAAAAGATAATAATTGCAGGTCTGTTTAAGGCGCTTGGCAAAGCCACAGAGCAATGTTAGCTTGCCTGGTAAAAGAGCTGTGGAAATGCCTGCTGCATTCCCTGACAGAATGCACCAGATCTCCCCTTCCTCCCCCCTCAGGACTAGTTTTATTTAAGAGCTACTCACAGTGATGCATCCAAATAGCAGAGGAAAACCCCCTAGCTACAGGTTTCCCTCCTGGGGAAAGACAGCTCTTGGCCTGGAAATTAAACAACAGACATAAAACAGATATAGGGAGAGCTATCAGACATAACTTATACGTAACCTTTTGTCTGGCCCTTTTTGCTAGAAGAGAGTTAAAGCCTACTCCATGCCTGAGGTCTGGATGAAGTGAGTCTTTGTGATCATAGAAAAACAGTTCTCAGTTATTTGGTTATGATTGCCAGTAAGCATCTCAACTCAAATGCAGGTAAGCAGAGGCTGATGCACTTATGCTCTGGTTAATCCCATGTACTATAAGTGATGTTAAGGAGCAGGGAGGCAAGAGTCCTATGTGGCTTGGGGGAACATTCAGGGCACACTTTGATGCTCCCCTCCTCAGCCATGAGGGCTGTAAAATATGTAGAGAAGTTCCTGGAACCCTTAATACCTGATCCTAATGCCTTCATGCAACAATGCTATTACATACAGAAGAAAGAAATGCCAGCTCCCAGTGAGATGTGACAAAAAAGATGTACTGGCTCTTCCAGGAAGCCAATTTTTACCTGTGCAAATTTTTCCCGGCCAAGGTAGGGAGGAAGAGGGCTGTATCCAAGTGGAGAAACCACAGAGGAGATGCTTCTTGCCTACCTGAAAACTAGTGCTTTCCCTCTTTTCCCTGTCTTGGCTGCACAAAATTTCCTCCTTGACTCTTCTCAAAGCTGGGGCTGTTCCCACCCCATCTTTTCCGTGGACCTCAAGGTTCACCAAGGTTTAACTCCAAGAGTGAAGATCATGTTAGGGAGGGAAGGCTCCCCCTTCCCTCCCCTCACCTTTTGTAAGAAATAGTTTAATGCTTTCTAGAACTTGTTTTAATCCCTCCCTCCTCCTTTCAGCCCCATTTAGGAACGTTCACAGGACACAGTAAGAGGCATGGGCACAGAGGATGGGGATGGAGTGGTCTCATTGTTCTCCCCGTGTTGGCAAGAGGAGCTGTGAAGGCCGACACCACAGGATTCCCTGCCTACGCTGCTGGGCGGTACTGGGTTTGCCACTCCTTTGAACAAGGGTGAAGGGCAACTTCCTCACCTCCTCCTCCTCGCTATCTGCCCATTGCTAGGCAGAGGCAGCTCCCTCCCAAGGCAGGAGGGAGGCCCACACGGAAGTCAAAGCCAACGCTCCATTCACATGCAACTTCAGGCAGAGTAACAATTCCGCAACAAAACCCTGAAACTTTGGGAGCCTCTCAGCTTGTCCTCAGCCCAACAGACTGATCAGAGAAAAAGAACAGCAGGAGGAAGAGAAAGGTTCCAATTCACCATGCAGGTAAGAAACAAAAACTGGTCAGCAGTTGCCAACAGGTTGTTTTCAGCACATTGGAGCCACCTGTATTTTGGAAATTTGGCGTATTATAAGCTCTGAGCTCTACCACTCAAATGCTTTCAGCCCTAGGGTACTCAAAACGTACCACAGAGCTTCAGTTTCTCTCAGCGAATGCTTTCATTTTCACCATGAAGGTATGATGGGGAAAGCAATGCATTGTGCTCAGTCTGCAGTATCCAATAGCACCTGCAGCCTTGGAACAAGCGCAGTGGGGTCAGGGCAGTGGGGCTTTGCATGTCTGTACCACAGTTCAGAGCTGCCAGTGGGCAGATCAAAGAAGGGTGGTTTGGTTTCAGGAAAATTGTCATAGAATCACAGAATCATCGAATGGCTTGAGTTGGAAGGGACATCAAAGATCATCTTGTTCCAATCCCCCTGCTCCTATAACTTGAAAGAAAAGGCACAGATTATTATTCAGAAATCCAGGCAAACTTTATGACTGGGACAGCTAGTAACAGCACAGGCTGTTTATCTGCCTGTTCAATTAAAGATTGTTCACATTTCTTAGGAAAACATGAGGCAAGGTGGAAGCGCTCTAGGGCAAGTGAGGAGGGCACAGGAAGCACTGGTAAGAACCATTCCCAAGATAAGATAGCAGTTTGGTCATTGCTGCGTACGGGATAGAAACTACCCAACCTCTACCAGTCTGTGGTGGGGAAGGAAAACAGGGGTGCTGGATCCCACTCAGATCCTTTACTTCAGTCACTGGCACTGTGACCACACTCCCCACTGAAGGGCACCCCTAAAGGATCAAGTAAAGTTCTTGCACAGAGCATCAGGATACAAGGGGACTAGGATATAGCTGGAGAGAAACTTTGGGCACACAAACCCCCTTGATATTAAAACACCGCTCATTGTGCAGCATGCTTCTCACACGTTGACACAGTACACCTCCAACCCTGCTCCAAACACTGATCAGGAAAAAGGCTAAATGGGCATCGTCCTCTTTGATAGCAAGGATTAGAGTCCATGGTTTATACAACCACTTCAGAGACTTGACTGTACATGGGGCTGCCTTGTGCTGCTGGAACAAAACAGCCATCATCAGGTAGTGTTACCAGTCCCTTGGGTAAAAAAAAAACAACATAGGGGTGAGAGTCCCAGTGGTCCCATGTCCCTGCCTTCTACAGCTGTCCCTTCGCACAAGCCCCATCTAGCCCCATATGGGGGCTGGGCTCCTGCAGAGCAGCCAAGGCTTAAAGCAGCTTTTGTCTCACGCTCAGCCCCATGCACAGGGATGTCAGCAGTCAGCGTCAATTAAATCTGCTGAAATGCCTCTATCTGTCTATGATGCTTCTATCATCACAGGTTTGCAAACCACCCTCCGCAGGTAACTGTGATTTCCATCTGTTCCCACTCTGAAGGTGGGCACTGGGAATTGCCTGCATGACCTGCAAATAATTTTCAAATTCTTCTGCTCTTCCCATTTTTCAGTCCTATGCAGAGGCACTAAAGGTGCTTGCAGAGGACGGACCAGGTGGTAAATCTCATTGCTATGAGAACACAGAAACATGCCTGCTGCTAAAGGAGCTGCTATAGACCCTGCTCCCACAACATCCTCACTGCCTAGAGCCATAGACAGGTGACCTAAGAAGCAACCCCACTGATTCATAGCATTTGTCAGGGAAATGAAAAAACAATAGGTCCCTCTTGGGATTAAAACCAGTCCTTGTTATTTTGGGAGTATGTAGCAGCAGGGGCGGGATTGGCAGCATCAGATCCAAGAGACCAGCCTCATTACAGCATTAGAGCTGATAGAGGAAGGATGCTGCAATGAAGCTCTGCAGATCCAGCTCCAATGCTGCATACAAGAACAGATATTGGGGTTAGTACCAGGGGAACAAGACAAGGCAAGCTGCAAAGAGATGCTATCAGGCTACATCTGTGCCAGCAAGAGCAGCAGCAGCTGGGGCAGAGCCTTTTGGAACTCCTGTGCACAAGGGGGCCTCTGAGGATAGGGACAGACAGAGCTGCTGTGTGTAATGATCTTAAGTTATGCCAGGGGAGGTTCAGATTGGATATTAGGAACAATTTCTACTCAGAGAGAGGAGTAGTGCATTGGCACGGGCTGCCCAGGGAGGTGAGGGAATCACCATCCGCAGAGGTGTTCAAGAAACATGGAGATGTGGTACTTAGGCACATGATTAGTGGATACAGTACAGGTGGTTCAGCAGTTGGACTCAGTAACTTCAGAGGCCTTTTCCAACCATAATGATTCTGTGATTTTACAACTCTGAGATCTACGTGCTCACCCAATTGGGAAGATTGACCTGTGCCCAAACCCACTTCTACCACTCAAAAACATGCTTATCTTCTGAAGTCTTCTTACTTTGTCTCAGTCTCCCACCTGCTTTTCTGCTTCAAGTGAAGACAGGGCCCCAGTTCCAGAGAAAGGATTTCACAGAGTATTTCAGCCCTTTCCTCCTCCCAGTCTCACCTGCTCCCATGGCCTCAATCCTCAGTGAAAGCTTGAGATCCAGGCTTTACATCACAATTTGGTTGCACCACCACCTCTCCACTCCTGAGATTACAGCTGGATGAACTTGTCTGGCCACTGTTATTACAGGATACAAAGTCACAAAGCCTTTGGTGACAATGCAGGCTGATGATATCCCCATCCCCTGGCAGCTCCTTCTGTACTGCAATGCCATGCCTCCGGGAACAGCAGTATAACTGTTTGTGGGGCCGCACTGTGAGTCACACCAAAGAACTGCAAAACAATAAAAAAAAATAAAATCAGAGCACATCTTTATTAAACTCATTGCAGTCACTGGCATATGAAGCCCAGCACACTTTTGCCAATCCACCAAAGACTGGTTGGACTAATCCCCTGTTGCCTATGCAGCAACTGTGGCTGTAGGAGCAGGGTGAGATCACATCAGGGAAGCCTGGAAGAGAGGATAGGGACAAAGTGATTTCAAAGTTGATGTGCCCCAGTTTTGGGCACCCACCACCAGGACCAGGCCATCCAAGGGTACTCCTACAGCATTCTTCTATGGAGGAGCACCCTGAACAGGGAAATCACCCTTAGCAGAGAGCAGCTGTTGCCACAGCATCATCTTGCTTGTTTCTTCCAACCTCAGAACTGCTCCACTTGGATGCATAATTATGCTGGAAGTGGAGACCAGGAGTGTATTGGGAAAAGTTTCCAACATGCCTGCTCTTATTCTCCTCCCCTGGCATCCCCTCGTGGCACCTGGGAGAGGAAAACTGGGCCAGGTAGACCTTGATCTTGGGTTATAATGCAGTTTTACTTACATGGGCTCTGTCTCTTTTGATGTACTGCAAGTATCACAATATCATCCAGATGTTCATAGGGAGAGGTTTGCTCTGTGTCTTGATATAGAATCTCCCAAGGAGCTCACTGAACTCTTTGCTGCTTCTTCTCTTCCACAGGAGGAAATTCTGTTGACTCCCTGGAGAAGTTTTCCTTTTGAAGACTCAGACACATTTGCCTTCACGGTAAGCTTTGCTCTGTCTGTACTCAAAGGGAATTCACAGCTCAGAAATTTGGATTCTGGTTGGGGGGGGAGGTGTTAGGGCAGTGGCTGCTTCATTTTCCCCATCCTCATGCTCATTCACAGTCCCCAGAAACCCTCTACACAGGCATGATGAAGGTTCAAGCCTTTGAGAAGCTGAAGCTAAGAGAGAGCTCTCTGCTTGTCAACACCATTAATTCCCTGGTATTTTCTAGGGGCAAGATGAAGAGAAATGGGATTTTGTCCTTGTGAGTGACATCCACGAAATGGGCAGTGAGAAAGAGATCAAGAGGAAGAAGTTCCTGGATGAGCTGAGCAAGAAGGGGTTCACCATCAAGGTAAGAGGCAGCAGTTACTTGGTAACCTAGGATCGCAGCTAGTTTGGGCTGCTGAGAGAACTCCCACATCTATCACTGCATCAGTACTGGAAAACACATGGTACACTCAACGAGGGGAAACCCCAGCTCCAAGACTCAGGCAGCTCCTGGCTTTTGCAGCTCTGCCTCTTTCTCTGACCAGATTGTTCTACTAGCCTTTCTCTTCTACCTACTAGAAAATTGAGGACAGGAAGCTATTTTATGGGGTCCGTGCCCCAGAACACTTCTTCCGGAAATACCAATGGCTCTTGAGGAACCCCGACAGCAGGCTGCAAGACCTCAATGCCCAGCAGGACGTACCAGTGACCACCAGGTGAGTGTTGAGCTGGACTGCTGGAATCTAGACCTTGCAGTCCCTTACCTCCACACCAGTACCCATTTTCTATCTCAATTCGCACTTGTGCCAGGCTTTTCCTTCTCCACAGAAACCAACTGCCACTATTGGAGCAAGGTGGCCAGTTCCCCATTTCTTCCCCATTTCCTTCTCTGGATTTTGGTGCCCACTCTACAGGGCCACAACACTAGGCTGTATCCCCAGAGCTGCCTTTAACCCCAGTTTCTCCTTGCTCAGGATACGGATCGTGAACTTCATCTTGCATAACACAGTGACACCCGACCTCGGTAAGGGAATGGGGCCAGCAGGCCCATACATCCATCCCCTTTATCTCCAAGGTAATGCAGTCTGTACTGGTAGCAGTGCTCCGGCTCTATGTTAGGCATCCCACACCTGAGAGTGGGGATGTGACGAAGAGGAAAGAGCCAGGATGCAGATCTGGAAAGGTGAATTTGCTTTTTCATTCCACGGCTGGGAAATTTGGACTGCAGGAATCAGCGCCCCTCTCACCGAGCCCACCGCCACTCTTCTGTGTCTCCAAAAATGCTTGTCCTTCTCCAGCATTCTGGGATCAGCAGGGAGGTAGAAAGGGTGCTGGCTCTACTGCTGTCTCTAGGGACCTGCCTACCTGGTTCACTCCCAGCCTCAGTGCAGCTTGCAGCAGCCTGGCTGAGCAGCACAATGACAGGGATTAGTGCTGATCCCTTCTGAATAGCTCCGTCTCTCCCAGGCATTTCTTTCTGCCTCCCCAAAAGCTTCAGGGTGATTTTGCCTGTCAGAAAGCATATGAGAGAGAGAGAAATACTTTGTCTTACTAATCTTCCCCATTCCTCCTGCTACCAGAGAAGCTGCGTGACCTCATGAAGAAGAATGTCTTTGAGGCAGCATTTCCACTGCACGAGGTGAGGCCAGGCACATGGATGACTGGTAGGAAAAGCCATGAGAAGCAGAGGAGTCAGACCAAGTGGGAGAGAGCTCTGGGTGACTGGGGCTGTATTGAGATGTACCAGGATGAAGGGCTCCTAATGGCAGCTTGGCAGCAGGGCTGGGGTTTAAAGCTGCTCTAATATTCCTGGTGTCTTACTGACTTCTCTGTTCTCCAGAAAGAAGAGGTAAGGGAATTTCTGAAGGAGAAATGGGCCCGCTGGAGAGATATATTTTGCCAACAGCCAATTGAGAAGATCAGGTAACTGGCAAAAGAGTCACAGCAGATCTAGCCAAGCAACTCCACCTGGAACCCTTCCCAAGATCCTGTGTTGTCATTTTTTTTCATTTTTTATTTTAAATCATTAGTTTGTACCTCACCCTTTTCACATATATTGGGCCTCTTCTGCAGCTTGCAAAATTCTTAGCCTAAAGGGTATCTCATGGCACCACTCTCCATCTGCTAATTTTGCAGAACAAAACAACCCCCGCATCTGCACGGTTTTTAATTAGCCTCTTTCATTTTCAACCACCAGCTCCCACGTTCAAAAGGAAGGCTAGATGAGAACAGAGCACCAGTGAACATGTTCAGCCTGAGGCTGAGCTTGGGACATGAAAGGCAACAAGGGACCTAGATAAGCACATTAAAGCTCAGAAGAACACAACTCTTTTAAAGAGGGAGAAAAACTAACTTTCTGTGGCCAGGAGAAGAAAGGCAGAAATAATACGCTGCTTCAGGAGGTTTTCAGTGGGCTCTATTGGGGAGATAAAATGCTGAGATGCATTTTCTGCCCTTAAAGGTTTCTTACAGTTGAAAAGTCTAGCAGGAGCCCTAGGGAGACTTGATGCCTCCACGGTACTCAGTGTGAGACAGAACATGTTTCTAAGGTTGACATGACCTGTTGCTATCACGGAAAGATTAAGGGGCCAAGTAAAAATTATTTTCTTACATAGGCTGGGGAGCACCGCTTCTGATTGCAGATAGGAAGTTAATTTCTTGGAATATAGGAGGGGCAGCGGGTCCATCACTCCATCACTGTCACTTCTTACCCACACCTCCAACCCTTCCCCACACTTGAAGAACTGAAATAATGCTGTCAGAAGAATGAAATGAAAGTACTAAATGGAAATAGATGAACCCAGGAGGGGAAATTGATCTAATTTCAGAACCATTGCACCTTGCAGCTCTCTTATCTTTTTGAGGCCTTTTTAATTTGTAGACAGTGATTGCAACTTAGTCTCTCAACCACTCCCACTGCTTTTACCTGGCATATGATGAATCTGATCACATTTACCCTTGATCTTCAAGTCATCTCTGCACCCATTAGAATCTTGCATTGCTATCCATCCTGTCTCACCTCTCAGCTCAAGCAGTGCTCTGAGCAGCTCTTTGCTGCGCAGCCCTACAGCATTGTCCTTAGTGTTCTTTACTGCATCCTCACTCATGCAAGGAAACCCAGGATCTCCCTCCATGTGCTGCTGCTGAAATCCAAGGGAAACACCTGTCACTGTATGGTTCTTCCACTTTGTTTGGACTGACTCTCCTGATCCACCAGACAATGCAACCACCAGACATGCAGACTGCCCCTCCTGGAGCTGGTATCTCTTTTAGGGGTGAAAGATCTCCAAAGCAAGTCTCACCTTTTCTTCCAGATGCTATTTTGGTGAAAAGGTGGCCCTCTACTTCACCTGGCTTGGCTGGTACACCTACTTGCTGGGATTTGCTGCAGGGGTTGGACTGGTGGTCTTTGTGGCTGGGATTACTGTTTTCAATTCCAGCCAGGTGAGGTAAGGAAGTGCAGAATGCCACACCCTGTTCATGAGACTTTGCTACGCATGCTACTTGCTGTTGCTTCCCTGAACTCCTTTCTCTCTAGCAAGGAGATATGTGAAGCCAATGACACCCTTATGTGCCCACTCTGTGACCAGAAGTGCCCATTCTGGCTGCTCGCTGACACCTGCATGTATGCCAGGGTAAGTATCCCTCTTCCCAAGACAGGATCAAGATGAAGGATGGGGAAACACTCCCAGCTTGTGCTGTGCCCACACCACCAGAAGGAAAAGCCAACTTGCACATTGGCTACAACATGCTAGAGACCTCCACTAGCCTCCTTAAAAAGGAAGAGGTATAGTCTCATCACGGTCTCCATCACCAGCAAGGAGAAGGCATTTACCACCATCTGACATGTTCAATTTTAATTCCCCTTCTTGTTATTTGCCCCCCTGCACCATCTTTACTTGTTTCTGGGGAGATCAGGGTGACACGAGGATGACCAAATGCTGCAGCCTCTACAGTCTGCTGTCCCCATCACGTTCTTCTCTGATCTTCTCCAGGTCACTCACATGATTGACAACGAAGGGACAGTTGTGTTTGCCATGTTCATGGCAATTTGGGGTAAGTGTCAATGTCTCATTGCCAAATACACAGAGCCTACACTATGGCTTATGTGCAGAGCATCTGGAAGGAAATGGGACCAACACAGCTTCATCATTCAGGGGCTTTTTAGTCCTTAGCTTCTCTACTTTCAGGGCCAGCAGCTCCCCCTCCAGACAACACAAGGGATAAAAATCACCCCAGCAATTTTCTTCTGCTTTTTAAACACTCCTTTCTAGAGAGCTTGTATCCTTCAGCCACTATAACCTTCCCCAGAGCATCCAACAGCCTTTCCTCTGCCTCTCCTGAGCTGGATGTCTCACCAATGAGGTCTCAAATCTGAGCCAGCTGCAGACATAAACTTGCCTATCATTATGGGTTGATATACACAGGAACCAGCTTAGGAAACCCAATCCAGATTAAAAGAAGAGGTGGCTGTAAACGGATTTGCAAAGGTGTAGCATGCTGGGGTGCAGGTGAATCCTGGTTGCAGAGACACAGATGGCTGCTTGTCTTTCATAGGCAAAGAGCAGCCGGGGCTGATTTGCCATTCAGATTTCATGATAGTCCAGCCTGCTCTAAGGGAGGGAGTGATGAATTCTTATAATCTAGAGCCATCTCCTTTCCCTCTGCAGCCACTGTATTCCTGGAGTTGTGGAAGAGGCAGAGAGCCCAAGTGGTCACCAACTGGGATCTGTATGGGTGGGACGAGGATGAGGTGAGAATGCCATCTTTCCCGCTTAGCGTTTTCCTCTTCAGGGCAATTTACAGCTGGGCTTACAGAGATGACGTAGTAGAGGGACCTGTCTATGGATATGGACATCTAATGGAAGCTCTTAAACAAGAGGCAAAGCCAATATCTGGAGCCTTTGCCCCAGGGGAGACAGAATCCTCCAGAGATTTGATCAAATTCTAGACACCTTTCTGCATTGCTAGTCACCTGTATGAGGCTCTAAACTCAGTCAAGACTGGTCATGCTGTCAGATATTCAGCCCCATTCCTCCGGCTCTGATCATTCCATACTGCCATTTACACAGCCACCCTTGGGCTTTCCAGTACCTGGGGAAGGCTGTATTGAAACCTTCCTTTCCTGCATGTGTATATATATAGAGAGAGAGAAAGAGAGAGAGATACTTTTTTATTCTTCTTCAGGAGGAGCTAGCTATGGAGCTGATCAACAATTTGCAGCATGAACCTCGGCGGTATCGGCACTCTTACTTGCGCAGCACCATTGTGCTCCTCTTGGTTCTGCTCATGGTAAGTGCCAGGGGGAACTTAGGGTAGGAAGAGGCAAACTCTTGACATTGTCCGTTTTCCTTATGGGACAACAAGTGGACAAGTAGAGGTGGATATGTCTGCATTACGAACATCTAATCCATTGCTGAAGAACACTGGCTTGCACCTGAGGCCACATCCCGATGAGTTCTGGTGAAGAGAGACAGTTTCTGAAGCACTCATCCAAGATGGAGCACGTCCTTCCCTCCTTGCTTCTCACCTCTCCACTGTCCTCCTCCACAGATTGTTGTACTGATTGGCATTGCCCATGCACTTGTCATTTATCGGGTGGTCGCCACGGCTCTCTTCACCCAGAGTGATTCCGAGTTCTTCCGTGAGCAGGCTAACCTGGTGGCAGTGATAACAGGGGCTGTGCTGCACTACATCACCATTGTCGTCATGACCAAGGTGCAGACTGCAGCATGGGGTGGGCAACGGGTCTTGTCCTTTTCCATCATCAGTTCTCCCTTATTGTTTTACACCTCTTTCCTGCAGATCAACAGACGCGTGGCCCTCTTTCTCTGTGACCTAGGTAAGGGAAACTGGAGGATGCCCCCACTTACAGCCCTCAGCACCAAGCTGCCCAGTGGTACCTCCACCAAAGAAAAGAACTGTAGGGCACCTCCTCATTGGTCCCCAAATGCAGCTAGTTTTGTGGCTTCTTTCCTTCCTCCACAACCACAAAGCATCTGCCAGGCAGTTCTTGCCATGGGATCCATGGGGAGTGGGATAAGGTTCCACCTCTTTATGATCAACACCCTGCTCCTGTCTCCAGAGAAACCACGGACCTTCTCCCAGCATGAGAACAACTTTACCATAAAGATCTTCATCTTCCAGTTTTTGACGAACTTTTCTTCGCTCATCTACATTGCTTTCTTTCTGGGGAGGTGAGTGGTGGTAGGGATCCAGGGGGACCCCAGCTCATCTACTTTCCCCCTCAGAGCACCTGGCAGAAGTGAGAAGGGGGTAAACCATCTGGGATCTCAGCAGGACCATGGCTTTTCCCCAAGGAATGGGGAAGTGATGGGAGAACACCTTTGCCTAGGCTAATGCCTGGAGAATGGTGTCCGCCATCCCACAGCTGGCTGCTTATCCAGAAAGGAGTTACAGGTGAGGCTCAACAGATATCACTCTTCTTGCTTCCCTACTCAGGATCAATGGCCACCCAGGGAACTACGTGCGCATTGCTGGCAAGTGGAGGCTGGAGGAGGTGAGAGACTTGCCATAAAATCCTCTGACCCCATACCACAACTCCTACCTTGCCTTTCCCCATTGCCCAGCAAGGCACAACCAAATCTCTGCTTGGACAAACAGTTCCTCAGAACCTTCTCCTCTCATCCCTTTGCAGTGTCACCCTAGCGGCTGCATCACTGACCTCTTCATCCAGATGGCCATCATCATGATGCTTAAGCAAACCATCAGCAATGTGATGGAGTACCTTGTCCCGTAAGCCTTATTCTAGCCTTTGAAGTGCTTGCTGGTGTTCTTGGATATGCAGGACAGCTTCCCACTTCTTACTGAGAGTAACCTTGGTCTTCAGGCCAAGATCTCCTCCCTTTCCCCATCTCAGGTGTCCAGTGCTGCCCCTGCCACTCCTGCCATCACTCTGCAGACAGCAGTACAAATTTCTCCCTCCCATTGCAGCTGGCTAGCCCACAAAATACGCAAGAGGCAGAAGCGCCCCAAGAAGAAACACGTGATGTTGGGGGAGGAGGAGGAGGTTGAGGACCCCTGCAAAAAGCAGTGGCTCATCAATTATCAACTCAACGAGGTCAACATCTTCAGCTTGTTTGATGAATTCTTGGAGATGGGTATGTAGGGGAGGAGAGGATGAGCAAGGCAGGATGCTGTGTGCAGTGCCATCCGTCCTCCTTGTATGGGGATAGCATGATGCAAGGGAGAGTGCTGAGACTCAGCTCCATGCCCAGTCCCACTAAGGAGACCATTCCCAAAGCAAGAGAGAGCAGGCAATCATGTTGGCTTTGGAACCTTGCCTGGGATCTTCCTCTCCCCTCCTAAGGGTGTCAAGGAGGTGGCTGTAACCCCAGGGTAGTCCTACTTGGTTAGCTCAACCACTATGCCTCAAGGATCCCCCTCTCTGATAGGCCTGGAAGAGGTGGGTGTCTCCTGTGGGGGTATGAGGTACCCAAGACAAGTTTTTCTCCCCTTTCAATCCTGAAACTTCCCTCTGACAAAAGCCACAAAGCAGGACAAACTCAGACAGCACCTGAATACCTGGAAGATATCCACTCCATGGTGGCTCCACACCAGCACCTAGCATTTCCCCCCTCTGCAGTGATCCAGTACAGCTTCACCACTATTTTTGTTGCTGCCTTTCCTCTGGCCCCATTGCTGGCATTCTTCAACAACCTCTTTGAGATTCGCCTGGATGCCATCAAGATGACACGGCTGCGCCGGCGCATGGTGCCCAGGAAGACCAATGACATTGGTGAGGTGGGGCCCATGAGAACTGCTGCTTGTGCAAACAGTGCTGGTGTTAAGTCCCTTCCAGTCTGAAGGAATCTTGAGCATTCCTTTGCTGGGATGTGCTCTTGACTGTGGAGATAGCAAAGCACATGGAGAGCTGTGGATTGGGGAGGGAGAAGCAATTTCAGACTTTTCAGACAATGAGGGGCACTTTGGAACTCTCCTTCCTTGACCCAGACTTCTGTTTGTGCCACCCTGTTCCTGAGCTGCAGCTGCCTTTGTAACCCTTGAGCAAGCTGTCAAGGGAGCATCACCAACCTTCTCCTCTCCTGCAGGAATTTGGCTGCAGGTCCTGGAAGCCATTGGCATCCTGGCTGTCATCGGGAATGGATTGGTGATTGCCATCACATCTGACTTCATCCCTGTGCAGGTCTACAAGTACACATACAGCCCCTGCATGAAAGAAAACAACACTGCTGTTGAGTGAGTGTGGCTGGTCAGCTGTTCCAACCCTCCCACAAACTCCCTCAGTGTGACCACAAAGCAGGAGCTTCACCTCACCACCGGGCTGATGTGAATTGATGTGCTCTTTTCCCCTTGCAGCTGCTTGACTGGCTACATCAACCACAGCCTCTCTGTCTTCCATATCAAGCACTTTGAGCCAGACACAAATCTGGCTGTAGAGATCTTAGATTTGGTCAAGAATGGGACTACAGTGTGCAGGTAACAGCAATCTGTGCTTGGTAGCATCCCTGCCAGCCCCTCGCCATGGCATCCAGCCCTATGTGTAAAGACACCAGAGCTCTTCTGAGACCCCAATGGGTCTGGTAAAGAGAGGGACTGGCACTGAGAGGTCTCTGCTGCAGGTACCGGGATTACAGGAATGATGAGGACTACAGCTACACTGTCCAGTTCTGGCATGTCTTTGCAGCCCGGCTTGCCTTCCTCATCCTCTTTGAGGTGAGTACTAGGGCAGCTAGCCAGGGAGGAGGCTGAGGCCACTAGGGTGATGGTGGCATGTTAAAGTGGCCCTGCGAACTCCTCACTGCCACTGCGACTCCGTTTCTGTCCTGCAGCATGTGGCTCTGTGCGTCAAACTGATTGCAGCCTGGTATGTCCCTGATGTGCCCCTGTCAGTTAAGAATCATCTTCTGGATGAAAAGCACTACAACCTTCGGAAAGAACTGAGGTGGGTAATGCCCCAGAAGGTGCTAAGGACCATGCTGGACTCAGTGCAGGAGTCCACATCAGAGCCCCACAATGGGGCCAATACCCACCACCAGCCCAGGACATGCCTCTTTGGTGACACTGGGATCTGAGCAGATCCTCCATCTCCCTTTGAGATGTAGCTTCTACTCCCATTTTGAGTCCAGCCACTGCTACCTGGGGCTTGTAGCATTACATGTTCATTTTAAGATGGAGTGCATTACATGTAGATGAGGCCCACCTTCCTCCAGGCCAGTAGCATCACTAACTAGCCCACTTGGGCTAGCTGGTACTTGGCTTTTAGGTCTCTCAAGGCAGTGAATTATATTTGACAAAAGGTCCTATTCCCACTCTGAATATTGTTCCCACAGCCCCATTTCTTCCCAGTTCAGGTAGTCCTAGCCCTTATGCCCCTTTCCTTTCTTCCCCAGTATGATGGAGTACTCCACTGAAGTGTAGCCTCCTCTCATGGAAGAAAGTGAAACATGGACTTGAGCCCCTCTCCCCAGCCTGCCAGCACAGCCAGAGAGGCATTCATGAGCTCTGGCTGTCACCAACCATGGACTTGAACTGGGGAGTGATGAGGTGACAGCTGCTTCACAGGAGCAGGATGCTTATAACTAGTCCAGCCACAAAGAGGAAGAAAGTGGCAGCAGAGGTGGGAATAGCATCTTCCCAGCAAACTCAGCAGCCGAGGAAGAGCTATGACACAATGGAGCCAGGCTCCTCAGCACCATGCAGAGAGCTCAGCATGTTTGGCAGCATCCAGCCATCACTGGGTAGGCATGACACTGGCCTGCAGGAGGTGCCCTGGCTTCCATATCAGTCATTGCCTTCACGTGCCGTGTAGCATCATGGGAAAAAGTGGCTACCTCATTCCAGGTTCCCTCTCCAGATCTTCCTTACACTTTGGCCCCCTCTTCCTCTACTTTCACTGACCTCCCTGCTCTCACACTGTAAAGAAGGTTCAGTCCTTCCTCTTTCACGAAAGCCAGCACAGTCTGCCTCACAGCACAACTACTGCATAGCTGTGGTTCCAAACCATCCTTTCCCCGATCTTTAGTAAATTGCACTTGTTATTCTAATTGGCTTTTGCACAGGGCCCTACCATGCCCCCACATCTGCTTTAACTTAAATATATATCCAACTCAACTACAAGAAAAATGGTCAATAAATGCAGTGACTGTAAAAACTCGAGCAGACAGACCCTCAGCCACCAAGAGTAACTGTATTCACACTGCTATCTTTCCTGCCTCCCCTTTCCTATTCACAGCACCTAAAGATCATTCACTCCCACTTCTTTTTTCTTCATGTGGATAATGAAAAAAAGGCTGGAGCTTAAGCATTTATGCCTAGCACACTGAGGTGGAGTGAGAGGTGCTGCATAGTGGCAGAATTAAAGGAAATTGACATAGTGCAAGAACAAGAGCAAGAACGTGCTGGACTGACAGAAGTACATTTAGCTATAGAGAAAATCCGAGTCACAAGGCTAGAAAGTGTTATCTCTTGCTGCAAAGCACAATACATTAGCCCTGCCAGCTTGGTATTTCATCACCTCTTTCCTTACAGCCCTACAACAGTGAACACAAGAGTTTGCCTATGGCAAAGCAGGGGTTACATGCCCCAGCTGGTCTGGTGTCAGAGCAGTCACTGGAACTTTTCTAACATTTGTGTGTTCCTGGCTTCATAGGTTTGCTCACTGCCAGGTCTACCTGTAGTTTTACCAAATCGAGGCAGAGTTATTTGCATTAAAGGAACAAAGTCTTTGTTCACATTATATGGAAATGACAATGTGCCCTCAAACATGATTCTCCACTCAACCCTGAGTGCAGAAACAGCCTTTTGGTACCCCACAGCATTTCCAAATTAGATTATTTTGAACCTGTGCATGGCAGCCTTGCTGAACTGGGTCTGCAAACGCTTGAGAAGAACAACTTTTTTCTAACTTTTGTTAATGAGGAAGGCAGGAGCACCGGTCAGGTCACTGCAGCTCAGTTTCCAGCTTTGTTACCATCCTTGTAAACCCTGGGTCAAATCCACTGGAGAGTTTCGAAGCTGACCTAAGAGTCTTTTTCTTTATGAGTACTGAAATCCTTTAACCAGTTCTGAAGTTTAACCTCGAGCTCCATGCTTTCATCCCCTCCTCTGTCAAATAGTCACAGGTGGCCACTTCTGTTAAATTGCGGGGATATACTGAATAGAATCTGGGAGCTAGGCAGGTGTCACTGTGCAAGTGTGTGAGCACGTGTAATAGACACACAGCCACAATACAAACCCTGAATGATGCAGACAAGTGAAGATGAGCAGCATAGCTCAGGATCAACTATTTCATTAGGGCTGATCTGTCATGTTCTGTAATTAAAAGTCAGGTTAGCCTGAACCCCTGCTGCGTACAGAGCGATATTCCTGCACAGAGATGTACATGGTGATGCTTCTTCCCGTAATAAAAGCTGTTCTTAGCACCGCATGCCACAAGAGGCCACAATGTTTGTGGCTTGTTTGAAGTCAGTGCAGCCCCACACCTGCAGAGTCCTTGCCCCTGATTTAACAGCAAAAAGCTACCCACCTGCTGTGTTTCCTGGGAAAAGGAGTAGAGTGACAGTGATTAAGCATCTGTGCCTAGGTGGCACCTCACCCTGTAGCAATGCTCTCCTTTCTGGCACTTGGATATGAAACTGGTTTCACTGATAGCCTTGGAACACAGCCGCCTGGCAGCTCTAAGTAGCTCATACTTAATTAGCTTCAAGCTGTTAAATGCATCAAGAACCGGCTATCAGCGAGCTCGTGTTGATACAGTCATTTCCACCGTCCAACCCAAGCAGTGCACACTCACTTCAGCAGCAGGATGCAGGACAGGGTTGCAGGCTCCAGCATAGCACAAAGTGACAGTCTCAGATTGAGAGGATTTCGATGGGGGCTCTGGATGCAAAGCCAGCAGCTTCCCATGGTCCCCAAGGTCCACTGCAGACAGGGCCAGGGGCTGTGCCCCACTGCCAAGGCCAGCAGCAGACAGCAGGTGACAGTCTGGGGGTGATATGCCTCTGAGCCCACGCTCAGGACTGCAGAGAAAGACACCAACATGAACTCAGAAGAAAACTGCACTCCCAAAGCCGTGAAGAATCAAGCAGGGAAGCGGAACGAGCTGTGCAATGCCCTCAACCCTCTGGCTTGTTTTGTCCTTTTACCACTGTGATCAAGATCACCTCCACTTCTTCCCACTTTTCACTTGCCTGCAGGAATAGCTCTGATGGACAAGAAAGGTTTAGTCAGCCCCTAGTTCCCTGCCCTTGCCATTTGTTCCTTGGAACCCTTCATCATCCCACAAAGCCAACTGGTTTACACTGGGGTTTGCAGTCCATATGTTAAAGTGAGCACAGCAGTGTGCACGAAGCTGGTGAAGGGTCTAGAGAACACGAATGATGGAAAGGCCACCCGCTCAGGGGAGCCCCGTCATCTTTTTCCCATGCAGGGCCTGCTGGGAGCTGTAGGGGTGCAGCTCGACATGCAAACAGCACTGCAGTGGCCCGAGGGGCGGGCGGGCACACACCGAGCCCTGTAGTCCTGATGCAGGGTTAATTTTTAACTTACTGTAAATGGGAATCTGCTTTCAACAACCCTCTGATGGAATGCAGATAGAAGGAGCTGTACTGGAGGTAGAGCACTTCAGGACCTTTGAACAGAAAGCCTTGAATAAACCAAAACTATTTTGTATGGTTTAAAGGAAAACAACAATAAAAAAGCTTCACAGAAAAAGAAACAGACAAACAAAAGGTGAAGCACTGGGGCCATTACATTGTCTCCCACGTTCTTCTTGACCCCATATCCCAACCACCCTTCCCCACCATCAAAATCCCCAAGAAGCCAGAATCCCCCCATTTTCAGCCCTTTCCACACAACCACACAACACTGTTGTGTTTGATGGCTGTTGTTCGTATGGCTTTATTCCTGGAAAATCCTAGGAGTGTGCAATGCTCAGAAATGCGGACCACCCCACCTCCTCCATCAGTCTGCTGAACTGAGGCTTTTCAGGAGGAAATAATCACTTCTGGAAACAGCCACTTTTTCTCTCTTCTCAACCTCAGATGGTGTGATTACCTTATTGAAGACTCCAGTATTGAAGACTTCAGTGCTGTTAGGCACAGCCAGGATGGCAATGCTCTTTCACTGGCCTTTCACCAAACACCACTGCCACTGTGAGCTTAACCAGAACCTAGGCTGTGCTGTGGCTTTAATTACCTCTTTGACAATTACCACAGCCATCACTTGCTGCTCACATATCACCTTGCTCCAGCTCCCCAGACAAGCTAGAGGAATGACTCCGAGTACGAGCTTTGTCCTGCCAAGACACCATGTCCACTCCACACTATTGGAGACCAAGCCCCAGAGCCCTGAGCTTGTGGGTGCTCAGCAAATTATGACCCCACGTTACACCCCGGGCTCTGCACACAGCTCTGTGAGGAGCACACACCCCTGAGCCCCCATGCAGCCTGGGGAGCTGGTATTACTGGTGGGTGCAGGTTTTGTCTCACCCCAACGTCTCTTCCAGCTGCAAGGAGCTGTGTACCCAACTCCCTGAGGCTGGCGGGTTGGTTGGCTTGCCTTCCCTCTCCATTTTTCTCTTTTTTCTTTTTCCCCTCCCATAAAGCCAAAGTTATTTAGGTGTTGTTTTTTTTTTCCCTCCCACAGGTTCAGGTGGAGGTGGAGCAGTGGGTGGGAAAGAGGGATGGCCAACCCCTTCTGCAAGCCTGGCATCCAGTGATTGGGGAACCCAGTGAAGGGCATGGACTGAACAAGGCGGGGGGGGAGGGAAGAAGCGGGGGGGGGGGGGGGGGGGGGGTGGGAATAGCTTAAAAAAAGAAAAAAAGCACAGAGAAAAACCTAACGAAAGCACTTGTCTGGCAGTCAGCTCAAGTGGCACAGGGGGAAGATGGCTGGCAGGAAGTCTGGAGGAATCTCCTGCAGGTAAACATAGCTCTCTGTTGCTTCCCACTCTGTGTTGAAGTGTCTCGGCCAGGGTCAGTAGAGTCTCACCCTCTCCCTACAAGCTCTGTTGCTTAGCCTCCATCCTTGCTGCGTGCTCCCTGCCTACTTTGCTTTCCCCATGGCTTTCCTCCAGGGGGATACCACAGTCCAGCTATCATACTTGGATCACTACAGAGCTGGGCTATCCCTCAAACCAAAATATAGGAATGGCAGTGTGTTGTGTGTTTCCCTGTGCTCCTCCTTCAGCTCTGCACAGAGTTTCCCTTTCAGCGCCCTTTTCATCCCCTGAAGAAAAGATTATGCCTTCCTGTGGGACTAGGGACTGCTGAGGGCCTCCTTGAGCTCTCCAGCCAGACCACACCCTGTTGTGACTTCCTTCTTTCCAACTACACAAGGATGGGTGAGCCAGGACTGAGCGCAACCAGAGCATCGCCAGCAGGCTGGGAAAGCTCCACACCACCCCATCCTTTCCCCATGCAAAAGCCTGGCAGTGGGGTTCTCCAGCCTCTGCTCTTCCATCCTTGACCACAGAAAAAAAATCAGTTAATGCTTTAGGTATCAATTATTTTCCAGCTGCTCAAGCGTCCCCTGCGTCCCCTGCGTACCTTGACCCCATTTTTGCCCGGAGCTGCGGCTGCTGTGGCACAGGTAGGTGAGGTACCTCCAACCCCAGTTGTAGACCTCCCCCTTCCACATAACACCCACAACACAGACTCAGTTTCTTTGGGGGAAAACCAGGTTTCATCATTTCCAAACGAGTTTGCAATCAGGAGTGAAGAAGCTCTGTGGCAGAGGCAGCCAGGGCAGATTTTATCCCTGCTGGCCCCAGCGGTTCGGCTGGATGTGTTTACAGTAGTGCTGCCTTGCATAAACACCAGCATCCTGACGTCCTTGTTATTCCCAGCAGGCACAATACCCACAATGGGGGCTCTGTGGGTGTTCAGGGACAGAGGAGCCTAATGCCACAGCCAAGCTCTGCTTCAGGTTCCTTTTGTAACCAGTGTGATGTATTGGTGAGGTGCGGGGTGTCCTCCCTGCTGCCCCTCTTCCCAAGGGGCAGTGCCATGCAGGGATGGTACCTGGGCACAGCCACAGGGCAGCACTGTGCCTCCTTATGTTACTGCTGTGCCACTGGGTGTGAAAGCTCACAAGATAGGAAGCCCATGCTGCTATAAATAAACCCTGTGGTTTAATTAGCAATTTCAACAGGCACATTGGACTGGAAGCAGTGCACAGCTAAGCCACGCAGCACAAAGGAGGGACCCCAGTTGCACATCCAAAGAGCGTCTGTGGTAGGACTGTGGGTCCCAGGATGACCTGGGGGCTGTGGTTTCACTTGGCCTCGCAGCAACACCCTAACCCAAATTCCATTTTCTTCTCTGTCCCAGCCCCAATCCACCCTGTGGCAGAAACAGGTGGACTTTGTCCTCCCAGAAAACCTGTGACACCAGGTCCCTCCTTCCGCAATGCCAGCAGCTGGATGTCTCTGAGCACACCATGGCAGGTAGGTTGCAAAAATCAATGTTTCAAGTGTTTTCAGCCCCTCACTCTGAAGCATGGTGGAGGTCCCACTTGCTGCTCTGGGGTGGGCCCCAGCCTCAAAAACCAGCCCAGCCTGCTGCAGAGCACTGCTCCCTGCCAGACCCTTACAGCAGAGCTTGTTTTTCTGGGGAAGCCAGGACAGCAGCAGGGCAGTCATGCCTTAGGTTAAATAGTAGGGAAAATTTGTTCTCAGAGAGAGTGGTGATGCAGTGGCACTGCAACCCAGGGAGGTGGTGGGGTCACCATCCTTGGAGGTGTGCAAGAAACGTAGAAATGCAGCACCGGAGGACATGGTTCAGTGGGTGTGGTGGGGGTGGGCAGGCGTTGGACTCAATGATCTTACAGGTCTATTCCAGCCCTAATGATTCTACAGTTCTAATTAGGGACATGTTTTAATGAGTGTGGTGGGAGTGGACTGATGACTGTAGAGATCTTTTCCAACCGTAATGACTCAACAGTTCTATGATTCCCCATTGCCGTAAGCTGGATCCCTGATGGTTTCCCCTTCCCCCTGTGCTTCCAGATTTTTGCAGTGTACCTCCTGAAATCCTTGCCCCAGCTGCCAACGAGACACTGGAGCTGGCCCTGGGAAGCCAGATTGTGCTGAACTGCACTGTGCGCTGGGCAATTAGTGAGCACTGTGAGCCTGTCCCCATCTGGACCAAGGATGGGCAGTGGCTGGGCAGTGAGAACAGACAGGACAGCACGTGGTAAGGAGCCTGCCCCAAGGTACGTCCGTCTGGCTTTCTGGGCCGCCCAACCCACAGTGACTCCTTCTCTCCCTAGGTTTGGTCAAAATGCCTCGGAGCGTCTCCTTGCCACTGTCCTGCAGGTCAACCTCACGCACGATGCCGACTTCGGAGTGTTTGCCTGCTGGGTCAGCAATGCCACAGCCACCTTCACCCTGCAGAGAAGGGGTAGGGATACACTGGGAGCAAGCCCTGATGGAGACAGGAGTGGGAAACCCAAGGAGGGTTCTGGGAACGGGGTGGCAGTGGTGACCCCATGGGTGTCACGAAGTGGGAAAAAGAGAAATGGCTGCATGTTGAGGTGTGAACTCCGGAAAGCTGGGTCTGGGCTACCAGCCATGCTCACCATGCTCTTCACTATCTTTGCAGAGGTTGTGGGGCATGTAAGTGCAGTGCTGGCTGCCCTGTTGGTCCTGGCCCTCCTGGTGCTGCTGGCAGGGCTCTATATCAGATGCCGCCTGAGCGTACTCCTCTGGTACAGGAACCACTACGGCGAGCTGGAGATGAATGGTGAGAGGGGAGCGGAGGAGAGGGTGGCCCCAGGATGAGCTACCTCAGGACCAGGGCAAGCTCCTCTCTGGTACTAACCTCCCCTTTTCCCCCCCAACCACACAGATGGGAAGCTGTATGATGCTTATATGTCCCATGCCACTGCTCCAGATGACCGAAAGTTTGTCCACTTCATTGTCAAGCCACAGCTGGAGAATCGCTATGGCTACAAGCTCTACCTGGATGAGCAGAACATCCTGCCTAATGCTGGTAGGCACCTTCCCTATGGCATTGGGCAGAGGGACAGTGCTGACACCTGAATCTGAAATCCCAAAGGGGAGAGGATGCACTGGGCAAGGGGCTAAGATCCTTTCTCTCCCCGCCACAGAGCCATCAGCAGACCTCATCATGAATGTGAGCAGGTGCCGGCGTCTCATTGTGGTCCTCTCGGTGGCATACTTGGAGCAAGACTGGTGCAACAGCAGCTTTAGGTATGAGCCCACTCCTGTCTGCCTCTGGGAGAAAGGGGCTGGCAGCTTCTCACCTCCTGCCCCATGTCTGTCCCACAGGGAAGGGCTCTGGAGGTTGCTAGAGCTTTCCAAGAAACCCATCTTCATCGTCTTTGAGAGCCAGTACCGGGAGATCACACACCCTGCCATCAGCCTGCTGAAGCATCACAGGAGCGCCGTGACCTTGCTGGTTTGGCGAGCAGGCTCCATGGTAAGGGCCAAGCAGGGTCCAACCCTGGTGCCCCATTTCATATCAGGCTCTAGATCTGCATGCTCACATCCCAAACGTGCACAGGAAGGAGCCCTGCTCTAGGGTGTCCCCTGGCCAAGGAAACCAGGGCAGCACAGCTCACACTGTAGGGCCGGGCTAGGAGCTGCAGCTCTCCAGCAGGTCAGGCTGGTTTCTCCATTGCTGTGCAGGCATGCTGCCATGGCAGAGCACAGCCTTCACCTTGGCTGAGCTCCCAGCTGCAGGAGGAGCTTTCTCCAGCCCTGCACAGGGCTGGGCAGGGCTGTTCTGCAACCCAGCGCAGCTCATCTCCTTCTTACCCCATGCAGACCCCATCGTCCGACTTCTGGAAGGAGCTGTGCCTGGCCCTGCCACGCAAGGTGGCCTTCCGGGGGACCATGGGGGACCCGCAGACCCAGCTACAGGAGGACAAGGACCCCATGCTCATCCTGCACAGCAGCTACTTGGACAGCCGGGGGGACCCCCACCCAGATGGAGACCTGGGTACAGGTACTTGTCACCCACCTCCTTTCTGGGTTGGGTCGGAAGGTTGGGTTGACCCCTTCCCCATCACTTGACTCCTGTCTGCTCCTTCCAGGCCTCCGTGGATATGCTTTTAGAAGTCCCCTTCCTCCCCGCATCAGTGTCCCTGGGGGGCCCACAGCTTTGGCCACTGGCACGCAGGAGGACACGCAGCTGAAGGACAGCCACAGATCTGAGATTGACGTCTCCGACCTGGGCTCACGCAACTATGGCGCCCGCACAGACTTCTACTGCCTGGTGACAGAGGATGACATCTGAGCAGAGCCACAGCCAAGCTGCTGAATCCCTGCATCCCCACACACTGTGGGACTGCACAGACTCTGGTCATGGTTCCAGGATCCCAGGCACAGTGAAGAACTGAAGCTGGGAGGAGAGGAGCTGGCTCCTAGCAACATGCTCCATGGTGAAAAGCCATCATGGGGGGGACATTCCTGTCCCAGTACTTGGGCACCCTCAGGTGGTAGGTCCTCCTCAC